CCCAGATGATTAAGGCCCTGATGTTAAGTGTGTGAATTACAAGTTAACTAAAAGCAACTTTTTATAGGAGATTAGCAAAACTAAACTAGGTAACTTGTCTTTGATTAAAATACTGTGTAAGTAATCTTTTAAAGGAAGATTTGTATTTTTTAAATTACATGGTTTTGTGACTAAATTAGTTTCAGTTTATGAATATTCATAATGAACTCCTGAACAGTCTAGAACAGTTTATGCATAAGAATTAGGTATGTCATCATTGAGCATAAATGTTCAGTTTGAAAACTTTTATGTGAGAGAATGCCCTTTTAATAGCTGAAGGATGTTCATGCCTGTTTTCCTGATGTTTTACTGTATCAATTAATTTTTCCTCAGTTAGCTGTTATTAGGAAAAAGTGCAGTATTAAAGAACTTGCCTGTAGTGATGTTTACTGTTTACTCTGAATTAATGTGAATGAATTTTAGTATCTATGCTACTTGAGAAAAACACTGTGGGAACAAGCCCAGCACCACAGCTTGTTCCTGCAGCAGAGCCAAGCACCTGCAGTACTGGGCTTCTTTCAGCTGGATCCAGCACTGGGAGGGGAAGGTGGGTTTTATGGGCCCATTTGGGCCTGTGGGGCTGGGCCTGCACTATTCATTTGGCCCATGGACTGCTCCTGCACCGTGGGGCAGGTAAGTTTGAGACCTGTGGGTTAGACTATATATACATCTTGCGTTGTACACATTTTAGTAAACACATACATATATACACACACCCCAAAATAATTTATACAGAAGAGGAAAGCTTACTTGTTGTATTTCATTATGTCAAGACCACAAAACTGAGATGCAGGTCCTTGTTATTGCCAATTTGTATACTACCCATCAGAAAACAGATGCCATAAGGAAGCATGCTGTTCAAAACAATTCATCCAAAAGGTTCAGTCTGCATAATGTGCAACAATAAAAAAAATGAATTAGCTGTATCCTTTGGATGCATAGCATGTGGCTTTAATACTATATTAGTGATTTATCCTTGGTTTGACTTGAATGAGATTTTCAGGAACTGGCCTTGTAGTCTGTGGTTAGTTTGTTCTAGTATGTAAGGGCTGCGTACTGTGATTTGATCTTGGGTTTGGGGGTTGTGTGTCCTGTGCATCACCACTGACTTTTCCAACTGATTAAGGAATAATGGTGTTAAATGGTTCCCTCCTGTCTGACCTAGTTATATAGGTATTGCAGGCTTTGTGAAGATTTGCTCAAAGGTTTGCTGGCATGATGCCATAGAAAGGAACTCTGTGGTCAGTGATACTGAATTTCCTCTCTAACTTATGGTAATCCTAAAAGACTGATTTGTTGAATGCATAAGTAGCTATCCTTTTGCTTGTTTAAAAATATCTAAAGGCATTAAGAACAGGCTTATAAGTCTTTCTATTATAAAGAATGAAGTCAAGATTTGTAGCTTCAGTATGAGAGTGTCTTTTCAGGTTTTAGTCATTTTTCATTTAACTTTATAGGAATAGCTGTATGAATGAGGCACTTCTCTCAGAAGTGATCCCCAATTTCACTTCAACAATCACAATAAAAAAACATTTCAGATGCTGGGAAAATCTCAGCCAGAGGAAGTTGGGCAAGTAAAGCTCATTGAAGTTCAATGGAAATTGGGTGTCTTCATCTTGTATGTTTCTGTTGTCATTAAATAGACATTTTTCTTAAAATAGACTAAGCAGTGCATAGTGCCATAGCTGGCAATGTTGGCATTTGTAATGCTTCAAACTTAATTCCCAGTTGGGTTGAATGGGAGTGAGAGTAGTTTATAATTTAGTTAATTTGTATTTGTAGAAGTATTCAAGTTTTCAGCACATTCAAGAGACCAAGAATATGGTACCTGATGCCTTACCTACCCCTGTAGGAGAAAATATAATGCTTCCTATCAAAGCCACTGACATTAAGTTAAACGTGATACTCACATACAGGAATTTGGTTGAAGAGATTCAGACTCGATTCGTTTTGCATGTTTGTACTCTGTTAAACCCACTTTTTACTATTTCCTTCCCAACTGTCCAGTGCGTCTATTGCCACTTCATTGCAGGAGAGTTTTCTAAGCGTTACGTTCTTATGCATAAATAAAGGAATTTGTCAGGTCCACTTGTATTTTAAGAATATTGGAATTCATATTTCAGTGCATGATAAGAAGAAATGAGGCAGCAATTTCAAAAAGACCAATAAATTGACTATATTCTCTACAGTTTGAACCAGTACAGGTTTACATTCAAAACTTCTGCTGTAAAGTCTCAGGGTGACAAGCTCTTAGGATATGTGAAAGCTATTTACATGTGAATTACTGCAACTCTTTATTGTTCAGTATTTTGCTACGATCTCTTTTTTTTTTTCTTTCTTGTGCCTTCAGGACACTTGTAAAGTCAGATTCCTTCCCCTTCCCCCCCCCAAGTAAATGTAAAGATTAGAACAGTAATCTTGATGTTTTCTTCAAAATGCACAATTAAAAATTCTATGGCAACAGTCTTTTCATGCAGACATTGACACCTTTCTATAGGGATGGATGTGAGAAATCTTATTCCCACTTTCTCAGGGGAAAGAAAGGGTTGTTGAGTTTCAAATTACAGCTGTTTCTTAGTTATGAGGTCTCTCTCAGATAGCCATCCTTTATTTCTGCCAGCTTGGCCTACTGTTTCCCTTTAGAGTGTAGTGCTTTGATTTTTATCAATTTCTTTCCAATTCAGTAGTTACTATGAAAGGACAATGGCAAAAATACCTTTTCCACAAAGATGCAGAATATCTCGAAATAATGCTTCTCAGTCAACGTAGCAGTCTGCTTAGAAGATGGTATTTTAACCAACAGAAGTAGTCCTATAAAATTCAAGATTAACCCTTTTATTTGTAAGAGGAGGTTAAATCCTTGCATCAAAGTCAACAGTAGTGTGCTTGCTCAAAGTTGAAAAGCTGATGACCACATAAAGCAGTAATTGCTATCTCTACATATCTAATAAGGCATTTTCTATTGAAGTTCAACTTTTTTATTAAATGGTAAATCATAAGCTTTTGGCTTTGGACCAATGCCATGAATAGTTTATACTAGGGTTGCACCTATATATCAGTTGGCTGTTGGATCAACACTGATAAAAGGAGAAGTGACATTATCGTCTATTGGCTTTTTAGTCACTGTGGCAGATAATTATGGCTGCATGCCTAGAGCACCCTAGCAAATGTAGACTGGTCTTCATGCCCTACCACCAGCCCGAGTCCACGGCAGACTACAGTTCCCAGCAAGCAGTGGGAGGGAGCAGTCACAGGGCACCACGCTCAGCAGCAAAGGGACCATTACCAGCTCCTGCCACTTCCATGTGTTACTCATATTGCCAATTGCGCAAATCACAAGTGAGACTTTATAAAGGGGGATAAGGCAAGGTGCTGCGTTTATTGATTACATGAGTTAGGCATAGAGGTTCGGGCACACCATTCATACAAACACACCCAAATCATTACACACAGGCATACACATACACAAAACAACCATTTCATCCACACATACACCAGATATAGTTACCAGCAATAGTTGCTCAATATCAGCCCAGGGTGGCCAACCCGGGCTTATTGAGTAGATGATGATTTGAAGATAGCAGATTTGAAGATAACAGCTGGAATGGGGTGAACAGATGCATATGTGCTCCGATGAAACAGCAGTAGAAAAAGAGACTCACCCAACTTGGCATTTTCAAAGTGTTCTTTTATAGGGATCGGCATCCTTTGTTTCAGTGCTTTGGGTTTTTTCCATACCCAGCTTCTGTTTTTGCAGTTGTTCTTCTTTTGTCTTCAGCTTATCTTAGCCTTGGAGTGTTCTTGTTGCCCGTCTAGCAGAATTTCTTCTTCTGTTATCTCCTTTGTGCCCTTGAGCTTCAAAGGGATTCTTCAGCCATTTGTTAGTTAGTTACTGGCTGGGAACTTTTATTTTGGGCCTTGTTGCTTTTATCTTCTCCCATCTCTATGCCATTCTCTCACCATTCACCCTTTTACACACACTCATACATAAAGGCTATGCAGAGTTCATTCACTTATGTCAAGCAAAAGGATACAAAATGGAGTTTTCAAGTTACTTACAGGACAAGACTAACATGGTTACATTTTACTATTATTACACTCTGTGTTAACGTCAGCTACATTAGTTCAGTTCATGCTACACATGGACATGCTGGGTGTGCAGCTGGGGCATGACCACCGGGGTTGCCACAGAGATGCTGGGCTGCTTTCAGGCAGAGTAAGGTGCTGTGCCAAGGGACTTCCCTCTTCTCCGGGCACCAGGCGCCTATGCAGAATTGGCTTCTCCCTGGTGGCCAAGAAAATCTTTATTGGTGTACCTCTAGTTTATACTAGATTGCCAAAGTACTGCTCAAAATTGTATTTATGAAACACCCGTGCTAAACCTTGCAGCAGTTTAAAAAAAAAAAAAAAGTAGCATGCATCAATTCTCGATGAACCAATTGTATAGGTGTACTATATGCTAATTGCTACAACAGTGTTTAATTTCAAGGTGGTTGTTTTCAAAATTGCTTCTCACCTCCACATGCTCAGGGAGAACAGGGTCTGACAGTAATTGAAGGGGGAAGGAGCTGCCAGGGGAAAAAGTTAGGGGGAAGCAGAGAGCAACCTGGACTCCCCATCCCCCGCCTCATTTTATTTTCTCTGATGTAACGGTGGGAGGGAGACAAACTCAAGGTAGACCGCCAATAATTGGATTCTATACCTGGAAAATTATAACAAATTTATAAATTTTACGTATAAAGATTGTATTTATTTGGGGGTCATCTTATAATCGAGTAAATGCAGTCTTATTTTCAAAATATTATGGCGTAAAGCAGTAAGTGAAAGAGTCTGAATGTTCAGACCATTGTTTCTTTGTGTTTTTAGCTTAGTTAGCATGTTGTGATGCCCAAACTTTCTTTGAGAATAAATATATCTGGATAAAGACAGGCTAATGATACTGTTTTCTTTCTCTTTTATAGGAGGGTGCTTCTGCCCGAAAGACTCAAACCCCAGCAGCACAGCCTGTGCCAAGACCAGGTAAGTTGTTTTTCTTCCTTCATATGCATTTTTCTTCTTGGGATGAAAGCTTTCTGTGCTAGACTGATGCTGCAGCTGAAAGCCTAACTGGGGGGGAGGGGGGGGGGTCTGGGGAGGGAGGGAAGGCGGGCTGCTGAAAATATCTCTAACGATTGTATGTTAATTAACTTCATATCATGCATAGATTAGGAATGGTACTGGTCCCGGGTCTGCAGTGTGCTGGGTTCACCCTGAACTAGTGCCATCTTAGCATGTTAAATTGATGGACTAGTGACAATTTCACAGTCCAACTTGTGACCTACCTGTAAATGCCATAAACTGTTGAAATTCTTTTAAATCTACCCCATATAGCATGTAATCATTGTTTTAGCAGCTCAAAAAATATTGGAGCTCAAAACTCAAGGTATTTTTCCATTTCACATTTGATACGGATCAAACAGACAATTTCTCATGAACCATGAAAGCAAAAAAAACCTGAGATATACTTTAAGCAACTCCACAAATTTGAAATTATATATCTAATTAATTTTTCGTTCTAGAATTTTTTGTTGTTATTGGCAGCTGAAGTTGTTGAAATCAAGCTGTCCTAAAATAAATGGTAAATAGAATTGAAATAAAAAAATATCCCTCAGCATGTGCTAAAATATGAATAGTATTCTTGGACCAGTAATTGGGCATGGGGTGGATGCTATTCTAGGCTGATGTTTTTGTCTGTTGCTAATTAATTTTCAGAAACAATTTTTGTTGCTTACAGCATCAAAAAATGTACTTGGGGCTATCCAAACATTAATAACCCTAGTATTATGGTTGGTTTTAGATGCCTTACCTCATATCAGAGTGCTGTTGTGCTAAGCACTGTTCAAATATACAGTCTGAATCAGGCCTTGCCTTGAAGGACATTCAAAATGGTGGAGAATTAAAAAAGAAGTAGTGCCCACATTTTATAAGAGATATGAAGAAAGACACAAAGGCCTCTGCAGAAGAAATTCAAGACTGAGGCAGAATTCTTCGAATTTGATGTCTCAAGTTCTGGTCCAATCCCTTCATTATAAAATAGCCTCGTGCTCAAAATCTCAGAGCAAGTCTCATGAAAGTCTTGGTGCCTGCCTTAAGGAGCTTATAACCTGATGTTTAAAGAAAGTTGGAAGACACCAGTAATGAATACGAGAGTTACAGAAATTTGCAGTAGTTTAGATGGATCATGCCCGCAGCTTGCCGTGTATATACATCTGCATTTTCACAGTATCATAGTACTTAGGGGCGGAAGGGACCTAAACAGATCATCAGGTCCAATCCCCCGCCCCGGAAAGGAACGGGTGCTGGGATCATAACACCCCAGCCAAATATTTCTCCAGTTTCCTCTTGAAGACCCCCAAGGTAGGAGAGAGCCACACCTTACTTGGGAGTCCATTCCAGAGCCTGGCAGCCCTAACTGTAAAGTAATTCCCTCCTTTGAATATTTTAACTGTGTTGATTGATTATTCACATGCTAAGACATCAGTTTGTTTTGCAAAAATTAATTAGTATTGGAGTAAGAGTGGAGAAAGTGAGTGAGAGAGGATGGAACTAGGAAAAGACTAGGGAGACTGGAGAACTTTTTTGGAGAAGGAAGATACAGTGGAAATGTTTTTGGCTTAGAATGAAGACCAGTTATTAGCTTAGAATAAAGACCAGCATGTGGAGAAGACGGGAGGAAAAACAATACTAGGTCAAGTAAGTTTACCCCACAAATCTTAATGAAATAGTCTTATGACAAAGGTTACTGCATATTAGAATTAGGCCATTAATAATCCCAAACCAAACTGCATAATCTTTTCCATAATATTCCAGTTTTCTTCACTTTGCTGAAATCATGGCTGCTTAGTTTTAATCTTATAACCGAATTATGTGACCTCCCAGAATGAGTTTACATACCTCAGTTGTTACTCATTTTGTTCATCCATCTTATGTTTAGGGTGAGTTAGGCTTTTACAACTGGCAAATCTTAATGGTTAGAAAAATGTTTGTAAAATGAGGTCAGTTGCAGATACCGTGAAGAAGTCTGTAAAAGACCATGTTGTTTTGAGAAGCGTTAAATAGGAAATTTTTGTATCACTTTTTAAAATAAATTTATGATACCGTTAAGTTTTCATGCTTGGTAAACAGAGTTGTTGTTAAAGCAGAATATAACACTACTGCTCTGTGTGGCCCTGGGTAGAGTGCCAGATAATGTGGGTACCCAAATTGTTTGTTTCTTGGTATCCCTGAGCATGAGTAATGCTAAAAGATTTGCTCCTGTAATACGAGTTTTCCCTTAAGTCTATATTGAATATTTTAAACATACTTAGATGGTGGTGTTTGGAAAGTCTTCTGTTTTGTTATCTTGTTAGTTGCTTCAGGGCTAGAAAGGTCACACTTTGTCATATATGTCTTACTAGGGCTGTTGAGATTAAAAAATGTGCTTGGAATTGACAGACAGGGATATGAAAAGGGTGAAAATGGCAAGAACAGAAATCCAAGTGGAAAAAGTACAGTCATGAACAGGGCCATACAGTTAGATATGATTTTATACATGTCAACTGATGGACCAGTATTTTTGTACATTAGAAAGGTTGGTGTTGCCTCTTAGGTAGCCTTGCAAGATGAAAACAGAATTAAAAAGAGTTATCAAGGGTCTCTTAAAATGCTGGACTGTAGAGCAAGACAGTATTTTTCAGGCTGGTATCACTAGTTCTTTCCATGCATTTGACAGTGCCTGGTAAAATAATTAATTTAAAGATACAATTACTTTCTTTTGTCACTAATAAAATGTTTGGTGAGTATCTATACCACTGTAGCCAGTTGCTGAAAAATGTGGTCATAAATATGAACAATTGTGTTATGAAATTGAAAGTTAGTTAAAAAAATCTGTCGCGTGTAGTCATGTAACAATATCAGATGCATTGCTCTTTCTTTCCCTCATTCTGTCACTAATTTCCTGAATTAGGTAAAACCCATGTGATGAAATTTGTCCATACCAACAAGTGCCTTAAATCTGGAAAGCAGAAAAATGCTCTATGTGAATGTCCTAATCCATGGCTGTCCAATTGATGAACAAGGGGCTACATACGGCCCTCAAGGGGTTAACCAGTGGCTCTAGGAGTTATAGTGTACTCCTCCCCTCTTGCTGTCCTGTTCCTGACACTAGAGTCTGAGCAGCCTCTCCCTCCAGCTTTTGCTGCCTGCTCCCGCTCCCGCTCCTGGAGGTGAGGCAGAGGAAGAAAGCCTGCAGGCAAGGCAGGAGGAGTGGGGAGGCTTGGGGGGTCAAGGGCAGGACCCAGGTACCCACATGGTAAAGCATGTAGCCTGCAACCCATGGGGCATGTAGCTGGGAGGCCTGCAGCCCCCAGCCATTCAGAAATTGGACAGCCCTGTCCTAATCAATAGCAGGCCAACTTCTACTGCAGTCATGCCTAGGCGTAGCTAGGAACAAATGTAACTTTCAGGGCTAAGGACAGACGCTCAAAAAGCCTAAGCCTGAATCGATTCAATCTTTGCAGGTTAGTCTAACCAGTATAGATTGAACCGGCAAGCAAGTGAATAGACATTTATTTTTGATTCCAGAAATGCAGCCACATGCCTATAGTGGCTCAGGCCACAATCCAGGGAGTGCTAGAGCAAGCCCTCCCTTCCCTTCTGGAGTGGCTGGAAGGCTGGAGGGAAGCTGTGCTGGGAGGTGTATGATTGGGGAGGAGTGTAAACTTCCTCCCTGGCCCGCAGAGATCAGGGTGTGCCTGCAGGGGAAGTGGGGAAGCAGCCCTTGCCATGCTTTTTTAGGTGTGGGAGTGGAGGGAGCATAGATTCATAGACGTTAGGGTTGGAAGGGACCTCAGTAGATCATCGAGTCTGACCCTCTGCATAGGCTAGGCAGGAAAG